TGCTCTATTAATATCTGGTCAGAATTTAAATAAAATGCCCCTCAACTTCTCCCACTTTCCTGGCCCACTCAGCAACTCTGTCACTGGGAAGACAGGCTGAACTGTGTCCATGTTCCTGCCTTTTGGGGCACTTTGATTTTGAGAATAGCCATAGAGACTCCCAAAAGCAAGGCCCCCATGAGGTGCTGCATCCAACCCAGGCTGTATCAGTGCTACATCCATCCCTGTGCTGGGCTGCCAGGGGACACCATGCAAGGGACAGCAAAGCCAGAGCATGCTGGAGGTGCTCTGCAGCAATCCCCTTGCCTCTATCCTGGCCATGCACCTTCCTGCAGCCATGCATTACTCAGCTGCTGGGCCAGGAAGTGAATCCCTGGTGGGATGGGCAGGAAATAGTTAAGCAAGTGGGGTGAAATGGCCCATGCTGGCTTGGCAGGTCCTGGACCCCAGAGTCACCCTCCGGTGTGGGCACCGTGGTTGTCACCAACTCCAGGCGAGCCTGGGGGAGAGGAACACCAGGCAGGGCTGAGGACAAGATGCTCCAGCCCAAGGAAAATGCCTCCCCTTGGTCCTCTCTGTAGGCCCTGTCTGGTGTCCTGTGGTTGATGTCCTTTCTCAGTTCCCATGTCAGTCCCACATGGCAAGGCTGACCATTTGTGCCATGCCCTGGATGCACATGTGGTGTGCCAATAACCTGGTGCTGCCAGAAGCCTGGGGATGCAGCTGTGTCCCCATGGGCCAGCAGTGGTACCCAGCAGCCAAGCAGGAATGCTGCAATGGTGCCTGCAAACCCACACCTCCAACACCACCACCATATGACCTCAGTCATGCCCAAAAACCTCCCCTGCTCTCTTCCCACTCCAGACTGTCGTCTGGAGCATCTGAGTGCTAATGAGTGCCAACACATCCCCCTTGCAGCAGCTGCCTGGGATAAAGGCAGGGCCTGTGAATCAGCATCACTTTCGTGAGCAATGCTCCTTCAGTGGAGTAGCTGGGGCTGTCCAGCTCAAGGATGGAGTGTCCATACCATGCCTGGACCACTGGCATGGCCCATTGGCGTTTCCATCTCTTACACTGTCAGGAACAAGGAAACATGCATCCAAGCTAAACCCAGGGGACTGGTTTTGCTGGGAAGCCCCATTTAACACAGGCACAGGGCAGTTTGGGGTTTGTGGCTTGCAGCATTACAGGACAACCATCCCTGGGATCACTGGTTCCCTGATGGGGACATGCTGCCATCCACTGCAGGACCTGCCCTGTGTCTGATTGCTCTGGTGCCACAGGCAGGGACAAGGGACAGTGTTTGCTTGTTGGCAGCAGCGGGTAGGGGAAACCTTCTGCCTGTCTGGGTTTCTGTTTGGGAGGGTATTTAAGGGTGTTCTCTAGGGTGTGCCAGCCCTGGCCTCCACCCTGCTTTCACAAGCGCCCTCTCCGAAAGGAGCTTGTTGTTCTCGGTTGTGGAGTGTAATGAGCACCGTGAGGTTTCCCCATGGAAGTTCTGATGGGCAGAGCAGCCACAGGGCAAGCTGAGCTCTGAGGAGCTGGGGACAGCCACATTCCTGTCTCACGCTCCATCATGCCCAGTGGGATGCAGCAACCCAGCTGGAGAGAGGGGGTGGAATGGGGGAAACATCTCTTTGGCCAGGGCTTTGGATGTTGCGTCCTCCCAGGGCTGTGGCCCCACGCTTTGTGGGACAAATCTGGTTGGAAACCATGGACCAAGCCTCAAGGAACACACATGAGATCCAAATGCAGGTGCTTGTTCTGGGGCTTTGATGCCCCATGTCCACAGACCACCCTCCTCATCCCACAGAGCCCATCTCTTTGGCTCTGCCACACTGCATTGATGCTCAGTTTCGGTTTCTTCCTGTGTCACAGAGGTAAATACATTGATCTCAGGGCTTGGTGAACCCAAATGGCATTTTTGGGCTTAGTTGCAGCTATGCAGGAACACGTCTCATAGCACTTGGGTACTGTCATGTCACTTTTCATTGGCTCTTTTAAGGAAAGACAAGTTGGGAGAAAGGATCTCTGTCAGCATCAGCTCAACATCAGCAGCTGCTTGGGTGCTTCTAGGCAAAAAGGCAAAAGCTAGGGAGTGTGCATGCCCGGGATGCCTAAACCTCTGAAATACCCTTCATACCCCAGTGCCTGGCCTGCTAAAGTCTCCAGTGGGTGCCAAGCCAATAGATCCACTTCTCTTTGTCATCTGCTGGGATAAACTGGTTCCCATTGCACTGGAGTGGCCCTGGAGTGAGCTGTGGCAAATCTCTTCTGTCCTGCACCCAGCACAGGCCCAAAGGCACACATGGGGCTGGGGACTGGTTCATGGTGGGCAGCTGGTGCTCTGGCAGTTATCCAGAGAAGGGGCAGAAGACTTGGATGAGGTTCACATGTGCATGAGGAAGAGTGAATTTAGTGATCACAGCCTCACCCGAGAACTGGCCTGGGGGTGCAGGTCCTGCTGGCAGCACTGGATCCCTGTGGGTCCTATCCTGCTCTCCCAGACCCCGTCCCAGCAGAGGGAGCTGTGACATCGCTTTCCCTGCTGGGACACCAGCCCTGGGCTTTGGAAAGGGACCAAAGAAAACAATGCTGGGGCCAGGGTAGTGCAGCCTTCGTGGAGAACTCACTCAGTACGTCTGATCACTCACCCTTTTGCCTTTACATTGAGCCAAGAGTTATTCAGAACTTGTAATTTCGAATATAAATGCATTGTTAGGTCTTAAAAAATGCTTTAAAAATAAGAATCAGTTGACATCTGTGCAGAAAGGTCTCAGACCCTCAGTACAGTGACAGTGTTTAGGGGATGCCAGAGCATCTCTGTGTGCAGTGGCACAAGATTGGGACCCCACACTCTCCTGGTGGGGATTCACCCACTCAGGGAGCAGCAGGGCAGAGAAACACCTGAGTATTTCTAACTTGCAAAGAGAAATTTTCCTCCCCTACACCCACACACCCAGGGCAAGCACAGGCACAGAACAGCACAGCTGCTTCACACCAAGCAAATCCCCATCTTCCAACCAGCATAACCACAGCCTCTGCAGCTCCAAAGGGACTAAGTGTGGTCCAAATCCCAGCCTGGACTAGGATGAGCTCACTCAGGTCATTCTTTATCGTTTGCATCCCTGAGATAAAGCAGATAAGCAACGTCAGTAAAGAGTGCAGCATTTTTCTGATCTGGCAGTCTGCATCACAGCCTAAACAGGCACTTTGCCAACAACCCATGGCACAGGCTGCTGACTCTCCCTCAACAGGATATGTCACTGGACATCCTGCTGCTGCACCCCAGAAACTCCTGCCACCCAGGAGTCATTCATAGATCACATGAAAAATGGCACAGTGGAGCTTGGAGTGCACTTCATCAGTGGGATGCGTCTGTGGAAACACTTGACACTGTGGTTCAGAGCTGTGCTTTAGGCACTGCTGCATCAGGGATGCTCAGAAGAGGCTCTGGGCTGCAGCCTGCTGCTGTGCTCAGTCCTGGGAAATTGCTGGATTTCAGAGATGAGGTTGTTTGCACAAAAAGTGCTGATACAGCTCAGTGCCCTGGAGAGATGGGACAGAAACATGTCTGTGAAACAAACATTTGACCACTGGAAGGCAACTACCAATGTGTTTGAAGCATCATCTTCATTTTGGATTTTGCCCTCAAAACAGCACAGGCTGGACTCACAGGCTTGTTGGGCACCAGCTGGCCAAAGTCAGGGCTGGCACATCTCAAACTGATACCACAGTCATCAGAACTCCCCTCCGAAAACATAGCACCAGACAAGATGATGCTTCTCACCAAATGAGAACTAGGAGAGAGAGCAGAATTCCCAAACCCTCTGCTCCTTAAACCCAAACCCCAAAACAGCCACTTGATCAGGGAAAAATGGATTGTAATTATTTATTTTGGGTCCCTTTGAAAATATCACGTTATCTCCTTCCGTTCATGGCTTGGTGTGGTCTCATAGCCTGTGACAGCAGCATCCCAGCCATCTGTGCAGCTCACTCCTTCCTCCAGTGAGTGGGAGACCATGATCCCTTGAAGGTTGGCGGGTTAGAGCTGCCTGGTCCAATCTCAGCTGTTGTCCCTCCATGCCAGGAACTGCCCAGGAGCATCGCACAGACAGGGAGCAGAGTGAGGGAGCAGTCCTGTGGGACTGGTGGGGATGGCTGTAGCTTTCAGCTGCCCCAGGAAGGGAGTCTCTGGCTTGTGTTTTCTGGCAACTTAGAACTGGGTTTGTTTCTCGAGCATAAAAATAAAATTAAAAAAAAAAAAAAAAAACCACAAAAAAAAACCCCAACCAAAAAAACCTCAAAAAGATGCTGCTGCTATCTGCAAAGGGAAAGAAAAAAATCCATCAGCACCCTGAGGATCCAGGAACAAACTGTACTGTAAAAGCAGCACACAGATGTCTGAAGGCCAAACACAGTGAATTGTGGTGGCAGTGCATGTTGCCTTCCCTTCACCTCTCTGACAGGTACCCTGTCCTTTAACCCTACCAACCAAACCCTGGAAATACCGTAAAACAGCAACAACTCCAACCCACATATGCAGTCTCCAGAGGACTGAGTAAGATCTCAGGCATTTGGGAAAGGGTTCCCAATGCCACCAGGCACTGCCGTCAGCCTGCTCCCACTGGGAATTGCGGTTGATTTCCTAATGTCTTGAAAAGGTGAAGAGTCAAGACAAGCGTGAGTGTGGTTGAAAATCTCAGCTGCATGGACTGAGAAGCATCAGACCACAGAGCAGTCTGCATTCAAATGGGTTATGAAACGAAACACGGGCTTCATGTCCTGCCCAGTTACATTAAGATTGTTGAGTAATGAACTAACACTATTGCTACCTCTCCAAACTCATCCTTTCCACACGAGCAGGAATGTGCCCGCACACAGAAGTGCTGAGGTTACCTGGACTCCTACTCTTCCAAAGCAGGTTGAAAACAAGACTTTACATTATCCACATCTCCACCTGCTGAAGGGTTTAACCTCTCAGACACCTCATCTCCTACTTACAGTTCAGTGTCTACAATGACGTCTGGCTTCTCCAGCGTTTGTCGTCTCCTCTGGATGGCATCCACAATCTTTTTCCTGGGGCCCAGTGGGATATTGATGCTCTTCAGGTCATTGTCTGAACACAGCATGAGGGCCTCCAAGTCAATCTTTTCCTTCTTCAGGATGGAGATGAACTCAAACATGTGCAGGGAAGCCAGAAAAGTTTCCAAGGGGCTGGTGTCTGGTTCGTCGTCATCGTCTAAGCCCAGCTCCACCTCATCCCAGGGCAGCTCCTCTGCGTTCCTCTCCTGCAGGCTGTTGGCACTGCCAATGCTGTCATTGAGACTTGGCGAGCGCTGCAGGCGGCTCTGCAGTTTGACCCCCATCCCATCGCTGCTGTCCTCCCCCAGCGCTCCCCCGTCCTCCCGGCCGATCCCGAAGAGCCCGCTGCTGACATAGTTGCGCCGGAACACCATGGTGCCCAGCCCGGGGCGGTTGAACAAGGAGTCGTGTCCAGAGTCGGTGCTGACCTCCGAGTGGGCTGAGTCCATGTGCAAACCTGGGTCGCTTATGGCACGGGAGACAGTGTCTTCATCCGTAAGGAACATGTCTCGGATATTGCGGCGAGTCCACTCCTTGGGGCTGGCGTACGTGCCCTGCTTCACAAACATGACGTCATTTCCCAGCTGCAGACCAGACAGAGACCGCACGCTTTTCCTTCCATCTTCGTAGATCTTGAATGTCCCGTCCACCTGCTTCTTCTTCTCTAATTTCTTTTGTATTTTCGTCTTTCCCTTGGCTGTGCCATGGATGGTGGCTTGTGAGTATGGCAGGGAAGTCACCATAGACATGTGCTGGAACTTCTTGCTTAAGGTGCTGCTTGAATAGCTGGAAAAGCTCATGGTATCCGAATTATCTGACATCTCCTTTCTGTACCGTTTCTCCATCCTTTCGTGGTGCTTCTTCTGCAGCTTCACGCAGTCCTTAATCCTCCGCTCGGCGTCCCGAAAGGCCTTGTCCTTCAGTTTGCTCACCAGCTTGGGGTTGAGGCTGCTCTGCTTGGCAGCAATCGAGTCCAGGTACCGCACACACTCCATGTGCCCCTTCATGGCTGCCATGTCCAGGGGGGTGTGGTAGTCATTGTCCAGGCACCAGATGTTGGCCCCAAAGGAGATGAGGAAGGAGAGGCAGTTCAAGTGGCCGTTGGCTGCTGCCAGGTGGAGAGGGGTGTTCCCCCAGATGTCACATTTGTCTGGATCGCCCCTAGGCAGCAAGAAAATCAACTGGTTAGCATGCAGGGATTGATGGCAGACTCCACTGAGATATTCCCAGCTGTGCAGGGGCAAATCAGCACCATGAATTGTTGACTCCTTGAAATATCAAGCTACGCACCTCTGGTTCCTGCAACTCAATTTTAATGGGGTCTTCTGGAGGGGTGTACTACTGAAATGGAATCATATGCCTCACATGCAAGTCTGTGGCAATGTGACTTGAATTTAGGTATCACGAAAAATATGTTCCCACATCAAACCAACTTCTGGAGAAAGGCAAGTAAGGTTCTGAATAGCCCAGAACTGAGATATGGGTCTGATTCCAGCTCAGACCTTAAGCTTGTTATAAAATTTCAAATCTCAAATATCCCTTTAAATTCTAGTCAAATTCCACCTTCAGATCTTGGCTTCATTCAGACTCCTGGCAGGGGGGCATGCCAAAATGCCCCTCCGTATGCCACATCCTGGGTTGGACACCTTGGGATCCCACCGTATCTCAAGGTAACCCTCAGGTAACCCTCAGTATGGTTCTGAAACCCCCCAGCTGCTGTACCTTCCCACCCACCTGTTCCTTGGCACCTGGGGAAATCTGTGGCACAAAGGGGGATGTTGGCAGGAGAGAATAAGAGTGATTTTGCTGTCATTGGCCTTGGCACTGGGGTTTTGTGGGGGATTTTGCTGTACCATGCTTGGTCCTGATAGCACGGCTGGAAGCACGTTGGTATTAACACATCCTGAGAATCCAGTTTCAGAGAAAGTGGAGATTAGGTTTCTGCAGTACTCAAGAGCTGGACACTGCCAGTAGCATCTCCATTCGCACTGTGCCAGCCCCTGCCCCAGCAAGCTGCTGGCAGGACACAACCATTTGTTCACATCTCCTGCCTCCCGTGCCAGGATGAACACAAACCTGGGATTCAAGGGAAGTCTGTCCTCCTGACATTCCTCTGTATTTGTGCTCAGGTGAAACGAGAGAGAGTTCACACCCCTGCTGGCACCAGCCCTCTCCTGAGCATGTGTGCTAATGATATGCAGCCAGCAGCAGTATCTGTCAACAGGGCTCTCTCCCTCCGTGCACATGGATATGGCAAAGCCTTTTATTAAGGCTGGCCAGCTCCACCACCCTTAGGAGCAACTCCTCGTGGGCAGCAGGGCTCAGCACAGCTCCTGCTGTTCCCACACCACACTTTCAGGGAGTTCCAGAGGAACCCAGCACTGTTCCTCCTCCACACAGACCTCAGCTCCAATCCATGGTGACACCAGGAGTGCAGAAAGAAAATCACAGAATATAGAGAACTGAAAGTGACCTCAAGGTCACATTAAGGATCATCAGGTCCAACTCCTTAAACACACACTTGAGACCTTCAGCAAGGGCTAATTAACTCCTTGCTGCTTTAGGGTCTGTGTTGAAGAGAGCTGGGAGCAGCAGAGCCCAGAACTCTACCCCAAATCCCATGTGCTCTGAGCTATGGCTTGTCTGACTTCAAAGAGTCCAAAAACTTCTCCAGGGAAAGCAGGAGATCACAGGAGCAGAGGGACTTCTTTGCCCTGCTGCTTTGCACCTTCATCACTTTGTGCCAATGCACAAACCCCAGAAACAGCCTCATCCAGCACATTCATCCCCACACAGGGACCCCACTGACTGCTTGGAACACTGTTCAAGGGGCAGCAGAGACAGAGAGGAACTGCCCAGTCAGTCTAATGCCAAGTTTGCAATCCTCAGGCTTTAGAGAAGCAATTAAGCCTGTCTAGAGGTTAAGCTGGAGATTATTTGCATCCAGAGCATGAACTTCCTAACTTCACTCACTGTGTGAGGTGCACACAGCTTTCTCTGTGGGAGCATGAACAGAAACTCCATCATAAACATGTTTTCACTAAATTTACAGAAACATAGTAAGTACAGCCTTGAGCTCATTGGCAAATCCAGCAAGTTAATCAAAAGGTTTGGAACTCTGTAAGGCGGCAAAAAACCATGAACCCTTCAGGACTTCTGAGCCAGAGCCTTTGACATCTCTCATAGAAGGAGATAAAGGTTTCAAAGATGGGTGATGAGGAGGGGAAAGGCAGGAGATCACAGGGCTGAGGAGCCATGAAGCCAAGAAAAGGAGAGGAGGGATTTGGCAATGCCGAGTTTCCAGGAGCAGTAAGTCCCAGCCCTTGCCTCTACCCTCGTAGTGACATGTCCAGGCTGGGAAATGCATGGGGAGGATAAATATTTGATGAATTGCAAGAGAGGAGTAAATTATTGATGGAGCTGGATTTAAAGAGCCAGTGAACCTGTTCCACATGAAACTGCTGGTGCTGGTGGAGAGACTCCAGTGCATGAAGGGCTGTTGGTTTGTTTTGTGTGCTCTGAAAGGGCACTTGTGTGCCTGGCATGTGTGGGCAGGTGAGCCAGGGCACCCCAAGGGTCCTAATGTGTGTGTGGACTCATGATGTGGGCAGTGACTGAGCAGTGGACTCACTGGAAACAGTCTTGCTTCCTAAACCAAGTGTGTGGATGCTTAATCCATCAAGTACCTTTTGGAGCCTATTCTCAGATCTGTCTGGTTCAGGGGGCAAAGCCAGGGAGGTCCTAGCGATTTCATATGTGAAAGTCTACTTTCCTCAGAGAGTGATGGGAAAGAACATCAAAACCAGCTTTCCCTGGTCATTTCCACTGTCTAGAAACAAGAGTATTAGATCAAAACTAGATATTTCAGGCCCTCTTCTCTATAAATGTCTGCCTCAGGCACTAAAAATGCATCAGAAGGAAAGAAGAAAGGTGACTTGCAAAGCAGAGATGTTTGATTCAACTCAGATAATAAACATGAGGCCCTCCCTCTGGCAGGTGTCTGTCTGAGCAAATCTTCACCTCTGGGGTGCTGCACATTAGGAGATGCTGACTGCAGGGTCCACTAAGTAGGAACATATTTTAATAACAGGTGTAAAGCGCAGCACTTCTCAAAGCACTTCAAAGCGTTTTTGAGCACTTAGTCAACTCCTGTAATAATCATTATTAAAACACTGTTAATTGGGCCCCTTAGGTGGACATGTGCATCTCTTGAGTCACTGTGTTTGCACCATGACATGCATGCTCACTCCCTTCCTGCTGGTTTTTCCCCTCTGCTTCTCCCATAGGATCCCAATTAGCCGGGGAATCCAGTGGCACTTACATATGTTCTTCCCTGGCTGCGTGTGTGAAGTTCCTCCGATAACAAAGGGCTGGCTCACCCTTGGCTCATGGGTGTGTGTGAGGAATTGGGCCCTCACACTAGGAGCCAACTGGGTGCAGTTGGCATGAAATGGTTTTGGATTGAGGAAGAGTGAAAAAAGGTAATTTATGGCTTGAGGCACAATCCTTACTACCTTCAGCATAGTTAGTCAGGGCAATGACCCAAGCAAAGCCTAGAAAAGAGCAGAAAAGATGAGGTTTTGGGCTCAGAGCAGAGCTTTGGGTTCTGTATACCAAGTTTTTCCCAGGTGGTGATAACCCAAGCATTCAGCTGTCCTCCAGGTTCAAATCCCCAAAAATCCAGCAGGGATGCTATAGATGAGGGTCATGCCAGGGCTCTCTGCCTCTTGTTCCCGCAGAAAGCTGGGCTGGCAGTCCCTGTGCCGGGTGACTGTTGGTGCTGGGGCAGTGCCTGGGGCCACATCTCCTGGTTCAGCACCTCACCGTGCCCAGGGCTCACCCCCACTCCCAGCAGACAGCTCAGGTGCCGGAAGCCACCAAGCTGCAAGAGTGCCCCACCCTGCTCCTTCACCATCCTGGCAGGTTGTCACCCAGGGAAGGTCCCCACCAACACAGCCAGGCTGCCCCGGCTCCCACGTGGCCTCCAGCCCTGTGGCGTGCAGAGGATGTACATCACCTTCACGTGCCTTTGCTGCAACCTCCGCTGCAACCCTGCCCCAGCTGGGGTGATGTGACACCCTCGAGCAGCCTGGCTGATGTCAGGAGCCACCAGCACCCCCAAACCACAGCTGACCCACTTGTCCCCTCTGCCACTGACATCCAAAGTATCTGTGCCCCCAGTTTTTGTAAGCAGGGAAAATAAGGACCAGCTCTGCTGGGTGACAAAGCTGAGTGAGGACCTGCAGACACATCCTCACTTCTCCTGCTGTCCACTCCAAGGAAATCCTGGCTGGTCCCAGACAAGGCCCCCAGACTTGCCTATAACTGGAGCTGGACTGGTGCCCGCCACTGCCACAGCAGCGCCTAACAAACCACTCTGAAGAATTAGTGTTTCTGAAAAGCTGCAATGCTAAATGCCAGCTTGCCTGCCTCTTCCCAGCCGTCATGTTAATTGAGTTTGTTTTCCTCACTGGAGCCTGGCCAGGAGGAAGAAAAAGGCTTTTTGTGTAGCAAACAAGAAGGATGAGCCACTGCTGATCCCTCCATCCCAAACCCTCTCTCTGTCCATTGCAGAAGGGGCACAGAGGCACAGACACATCACCAGCTGGTCAGGGCAGCTCAGTAAACCTGCTCCGTTACCCCTTCCATGTGGTTGGGGCAACAAGCTTCCCTCAAGGATCTACCAAAGGATTTCTTTCCCCCTCCTTGTTTCAGCCTGACACCATAATCTGCTGAACACATGTGGATGAGGCTCCTTCACTGATGACAGAGCCTAGATGTGTCCATCAGCCTGGCAGGACATTAGAGCCATGATTTTGGCCCCAGGAGCCCCCTCCCACAGCCCTGCTTTCTCAGGGTTCCTCTGGCCACCCTCACTAGGGCAGTCCATAACAGTCTGGCCCTAGCACTCAATGTCCCAGCTTGTTTGGGCACTGGTGCCACTGCCCAGCACTGGCAAGGAGATTTTGGTGTTTCTTGCTGCCCCAGGACTCCCCCATCACCCTCTGTGCTTTGACACCCCTAAGCAACCCAGATGGAGGCTCACCAGGCCCCTCAGAACCTGAAGATGCTTCCCACCCCATCCCTGCATGAAGCCAGCCCAGCCCTAGAGCCTCCACTCCCCCAGACGCTGCTCCATGTCAGTCCCACACTCCCCTGGCTCGTAGTGCAGGGGTCTCTGAACCAAAGGAGGAATATTTTGGCAGCAGAGGCTAAAGAGCAATTCCCTGACATTTTGGGATACTCAGGTGCCCTCCTTCTTGCCTCACAGTGGTTATAGTGCAGGCATAATAGTAACACATATAACACAGCATTAAGTTTCATCTCTGAACAAGGCTTAAATACTGTGGCACATCATCCTGGGCACTGGCAGAAAATTACAGGGTCTGTCCTCAGGCTCTCCTGGCTCTTGCACAATCCCACCTCTCTGGCACCCTTGTCCCCAGGCTGGGGTATTCCTGCCTCTCACAGCCTGAAAGCCAGCTCCAAGGAGCAGGGATGTGCTTTCCTCCATGCCAAACACTCTGCTGGTCTCTCTGTGGCCCCGGGCAAGGATCTGTCACATGGAGATGAATGCACAAATGCAAACACATCCTGCAGTCCCACAGCCACACACCTTGCTCCATCATCCATCATGTAAAGGGCACTGGGCTTTTGCCAGGCTATTTTCCTTGTCAGGAACAAATGTATATTAGGTTGTTAATTAAACAGCAGCCAAGCTGCACTCGAACACGATTTGAGCCCACAAGGACCTTTTAATCCAATGTGAGTTTATAAAAGCAGCCCTTGGGCTTTGTGGAGAGGCAGAAACTGCTGGCTTGGATGGGGGTTGGCTGGGCAGACAGTGGTGCTTCAGGGTGCCCTGTAGTGGGGATGAACAATATGAGGAGATACAGTGATATGAAGAGATTAAAAAGTCAGTCCAAAAGGCATTGTCTTTCTGGAGGGGCATTAATCCACTCCTTGGGCCTTCCAGATTGACTTTTTGGCCATCAAAGAGTCTTTGGAACCATTTTTAACTTCAGGGTGTCATCCTCTGAGCATTCCTCCCATGTCTCTCTGGCCCTGGCTAGCAATTCCTGTCCTGACAGGAGCTCTGGGCAGGTTTTTGCTGGGCACAGTCTTTCCTGGGAGGTACACAGGGAGTCACAGGATGCTCCACTCAGAGCACTGAGTCCCTTCCAGACTCAGAAATAATCTTTTCCTGAACACACTCCTACTGTATCAGGTGCTCAAGGACCTCTCAAAGCCACTCTGTGCACAGCCTTCAGTTCAGGATCTGAAAGGAAATGATTTACAATGAAAGGACAGCAATGGATGGAGGAGCTCTGCTTGTGAGCACAGGAGAGGTATTGGTACTGCACAAGCAAACCAGCGTATCAGGATATGGCAAAAACAGAACAGTGCAGTGGAGATGTGGCTCGTCAGGTACAAGAGCTGCTAACACAGCCCAGGGTGGATGAAAAATCCCTGCATGGGAGCTGACAGGCCCACCAAGCCAAATGTGGAGAAGTAAAGCCCTTCCAAGGAGGTGTGATGTCCATCCAGGCTGCTGACCTCAGTATCATCCCTCAATATTAGAAAGACACAAATCAAAATCAGCACCACCAAGCTCTCAACACAAGGCAGAAGCCACTCCAGCTTTAGATGAGCTGCTGGAGCAGAAGGAAGCTTTGGGATGTGTCCTTGACTGGTCAGTAAGAAATGCAGAGTCACAGACTTTCCAGAGGGAACTAGGAATCTTGCTTTAGCACAGACCTTATGTTGTTCCCCCAGCACCAAGGTGTATATCCCTCCAGTCTGACAAGTCCCCTTAATCCCACTCCCACCTCTCCACCACATCCACATTTAGGGAGCCAGAAACTTAAGATTCAGCAGCCCAGGGTGAGGTACAGAGAGCCAGACCAGTGTGGAGCAGGCCCTGTGGAGGAGATGGCTTTAAGAAATCTGCTCTTGGAAAACCTGAATTTCCCAGGCTCCAAGTGTACAACAAGCTGTCCAGTGGTCACATACTGAGACCTGCTTTGGGTAAAACAGACAAGTGCTACCCACTGCCAGCTGGCGCTGCACACATCATCCCTCCGTGAGCATTCTTGTGACAGAGGGAGCAGTTATTTCCTCTGTCCCCTCACTTAAAAGGGCTTTTCCATGTCAGCAGCACAATGTGTTTATCTTTACAGGACCTGTAAAAGATCACAAACCACTTGGAAAGGGAAACTCATCCCTAGCCAGGGTGCTGCAAGCAGGCTGGGGGCAGGAGCACTTATAGGGTCAGTGGAGGTGGGAAAACACAGAGCAGTTATCAGGAGTGTTGGATTAGATTCAAAGCACCACAAGCAAAGAAAAGTAACAGCAGGGAGGACAGGAGTAGGGTTCTTATGGACAGAAGCCATGTGTGCCCCATGTGGGGCCCACAGGGCTGCAAGCAGGGAAGGGGGAAGAAGGGGGTCCCAGCTACCCTGTCCTGCAGACCAGCCTGGCCAACACTCACCCTCTGCTCACAATCAGGCGCAGGGCATCCAGGTTGCCGTGGTAGGCGGCCCATAGGGTCGGGGTCATGCCATCCTCATCTGGTGAGTTCAGGTCCTTCTTGGTGGCTTCCTTCAGCAGGTCCAGGTAGCCATCCCGGGCGGCTCGGTGGTACTGGTCATTCATGGTGTGAAGGGGTCCCTGAGCCAGCACATGGGTGCCCAGGGGGTCCAGGGGCAGCTGCCAGGAGGGCCCCGCTCGCCTCGCACAGTTCCGCGTACCAGGACACCTGAGAAGTCCTGGCTGGGGAGGCAGGAGTCGTTCCAAGCCCAGCCAGCCAGGCTCCACAGCGCTTCCCCTGGGTCCTAAGCATCCTCCGGCCCCGGCTGCTCCTTGTAGCACGCACCAGCTCCACGGCACATTAAAAGCTCCAGTTAAGCAGCATCGCTCTGTTGGGCTCAGCACGGGGTGGCACAGCAACAATTCACCAGGTTTACGTGTCCCCAAAGCTGAGCAGGCTGCCAGAAAGGCTGCTGGGCTGTATCCTGCCCAATATGCTCCTATTCCATGCCCCACCTCAAGCAAGGGGCAGCAGTAGCCAGAGGAGGAAGAGTGGGTCAGTGGAGCACAAGCCCCACAGCCTTCACTCACAGCCCTGTCAGAGCTGGGCCCTGGATGGATAATCCTGCTTTCTGTGGAGCTGGCTGAGAGCAGTGTGGTGACGGATTCAAAAGTAATACCGGGGGTGTTCACACCTCAGCTTTTCCTCACTTAAAACAAACAAACAAATATCTTTTAAAAAAAATTATTTATTTGTATCTCTCCCTAGTGTCACTAGGAAGACAACAGCAGACCCAGTTACCATCCCTGTCCCTCATCTACCCTGCCTATACCCAGAGAATTCTGCTTTCCAAGGAATTGCAGAACAAACTGCGCAACGGGAATCCGATAAACCAAGGAAACTCATAATGGCCTTCCTCACCTCTTTTCCCTCTCTGGAGACTTAAAAAAATAAACCCAAACCCTGTGTGTAACTCGGTACTTCACTGCGACGTGCAGTGGGTGCAGTGTCCAGCCCCTGGTGTCTTTTATGCTGACACAGAATTCCCGGCTGGGTGAGAGCCGGGGGGAGCTGGGCAGACCCAGGCAATGTCTCCAGCACAGCGTTCCCGGTTCCCGGGCACCCTCTGCCGTCGGAAAGATGGAACCGAGCCTGGAAGTGACCGAAGCACGAAGCTGTCCCATTACACCCAGGGATGAATCGGTGGATTGTATTCCCTGGGATATGCTGACATGGAAGAGGAATTTCCTGCTACTCTCGTGTTCATTTTACCTGTAATGTCCTGACTCTGGGAATGGAGATCTCCAGGGCTGGACTCTGTGTGTGTCACCATGGCCCTGGGAATGGAGATCTCCAGGGCTGGACTCTGTGTGTGTCACCATGGCCCTGGGAATGGGGATCTCCAGGGCTGGACTCTGTGTGTGTCACCATGGCCCTGGGACGGGCACAGGGTTTGGAGAGGGTGAAGCCATCAGAAGGGTGAGAAACGGGAGGAGAGTGGAAAAACGGGGAAGGAATGTAAGACAGCATCAGAAGGCAATGAGCAGAGAGGAACTAAAACAGTGAGAAAGGCAGCTTATTTTTGTAAGGGGAAAAAAAAAAAAAAAGCCCCTAGACAGGAGGGTGGCCCTAAAGCAGTGCCAGGTGCACCCACGCAAAGTGCAGTGATTAATCCCTGGGTGACTGATGCCATGTCAGCGTTCCGGCTGCCCGGGAACACCTGGAAGTGCATCAGAGCCAGCGTCTGCTCCCTGTGGGCTTTGCTGACCTCAACAGGTTCGTTTGCACCGGCTCAGCCTCCTGGGCAAGCCCTGATGGGATGCAGTGGCCTCTGAGGTTCTTGTTGCTGGGATCCTTGCAGGTGAAAAGCAGTACAGTAATGCCTGCAATTCATTACCGACGTTATTTAATGATTCTTGTACTGTTGCTAATTAAATTTGTTGCCCCGTAGACGTGCAGTGGCTGCCAGGGGGACTGGGAGCATTGCCCGAGGCAGTAAACACCCTTTTTCTATTTTCTGTTTTCTATTGCTGGCTGGTAAGGACAAAAGAGGCAAGGGTACACCAGCGTGTTTAGCCCGAGGGGCCTCTGAACTTCTGGTCTCTGCAAAACATTGTCAGCTCGGATTTACTTCTGGGAGGCTTGGGCTTCCCCTGGGAAAGGCTGGAGGCTGAGAAGGGATCAACCAGTCACCCCAAAAGGAATCCCTATGGCTCAGCAGAGGCCAGGCAGGGCAGACCTGGTGGCAGCACAGAGGGACACACAGAGCTCTCCCTGGGCTCTACAGGGGATCCTGAGCTCTCCTTCCCCATCACACACAATTCAGTTTGGTGCTGTCCTTGCAGTGCAGCAAGGACACAAGCAGGCAGGAATGGGACTGAGAAAACACACAGCAAATGGCCCCAGCTCTGTGCTTACCCTGAAGGGGTAAAGCAGCAGAGACGTCTCCAAAAGAGGCATTTCAAGGACTAAAACTTGTCCCCATCCACCCAGAACTCCCATGAGACTCCTATAGCTCCCCCACAAAACATAGCTGATTGAAAGGGACCTTGAGCAGAAACTGTCCCCTTACCAGACAAACATTTAAATCATATCTGCCCTGTGGTTTGTGACACAGTTACTCCTTGGAAGGAGAGGAGTTAAGGTCCTGAGGTCCAAAGAAACGTGATCCCACCCTGAAAAATCAAAGGCAGTGCGTCAGCAAAGAACACAAATTCCCATCCCTAAATCCTGCCCTTCTCTAGTGCTAAGCCTTCCTCATTGATGACAGCATGGGTGGGAAAGGATTGGGTTACCCTCACTGGCACTGAGCAGGTATAAATGCAAATTTCTTCCTTTTCCTCAAAAACCTTTGAGGCATGGAGTGGACTGATTTGAATAGCACAGGGTGGGGCACAATGTTTACTGTGCTCCACTAAGCGGAAAGCCATGCACAAAGTCATCACCAATAGTAAGTTCATCACCTAAACCATCTCCTCTCGAGGGAAGAGACCTCATGCATGTAGGGAGATGGATTTGGTGGGGTGGCCTTGCTCTGTGGTGACCATGACCGTGTGACCGAGCAGTCCATGCCATGATTAGCAGTGTTGTCAACTCACGCCCTTGCTTGGTAAATAACCCTTATCTCCTCATCTCTTTCCAGCTTCCCCAAAATCAGCTATTGCACAAAATGGATCACATGAGTTTCTCTGAGAAGCCCACAAAGCCCTGCTGTCAACTCCAGACATGGTATGAATTACAGAGACGTCCCAACAGGTATAAATTCAACTGACCAAGCTGCAGCAACAGAGAAACTTCTCAGCCTGGAAGGACCAGAGATTTGGATCCCAGGTGGCAAAACAGGTTGGAATGGCTTTGTTTGGATGATTAATTCACTTTGTTTCAGGCTTTTCACTGAGAATCAATGAAATGCCAAACTTGGCACAGGCCTTAGATGGTGTGACAACTCAGGTAGTTCACACCCTTTCTGCAGGAACTGCTACAAATTATGATGTGATGGTCCAAAGATTCCCAGAGATTTCTAACCTTTTGGTGGCCTGCTTGTCAGGAAGGAAGTATAACGATTTCTCAGAATGTTTAGTGTCTGACATTTAGAATTTAAACCACACTGCCTGTTTGCCCAAGGATATTTGATCCTGTGAGTGCTTTTTGGTGATTTTCCAAATCTTGCATCAATAAATACATAAATGTTGTGTGACGTATTAGACACGCTTCATTAAACTGACCTGAGATCTCCCTGAGCAAGAGCATCTTAAGTGAAAAAAGCCTTCAGGGAACCAGGAAAGGAAAGTTTGAAAATGAGCTCATTGGTCTTCTTGCGCTCCTTGTCTCAGCCTTCCCTGTTCCTGATATATCCTGTCCATCACGTGTCCTACTTTGGCCCAGTCCTGGGCTGTTTCAAATGCACCTCTCACTCATGGGCTTCTCTTCCCAACAGCACTGACCCTCAGGCAGAGCCTTGGTTGAACCATGACCGAGGAGCCCGGGCGGAAGGACAGTGAGCTTGGACACCCCCACTCCAGCATGGGCTGTGGACACAAGGACAACAAAGCCAGCCTGGCCTCGAGCCAGATAGCGTCTTTCAGCCACCAGTCCCCCTCCACTCCTGCCTCCAAGGAAGTGTGGAAAAAGGGCGGCCGCATGTTCTCCATCCTGCTGGCCGTGCACTTGGCCCTGCTGGCCTGCACGCTGGTGAGCAGTGGGGCTTTCGAGAAGATCGCCGTGCACGACTACGATGTCTTCTTCCTGCTGACAGTCATGATGCTGATTGTCATCATCTGGATCATCTTCTACCTCGCCGGGACCTCCCGGTGCCCAGGTGCCATCCTCGGCAAGGACTCCCACGCCGGGCCCATCTGGCTGAGAGGTAGGTGCTGGGGCTGGAGGAGAGATACAGGATGGACAGTTCATGGGAGCATCAGTTATTACAAGGGCAGCAGCAAGGATCTGGGCACATCCTCTTCCTGCTGATGGCACCATGCCCTGCTTCAGGCCAGCTCCTGGTCCCTGCACTGCCAGGTCTCCCTGAATCCACAAAGGCTCTTAGTAACTTACACCAGGATCTTTCCCACTGCTTTTGCAAGAGCTGTTAGCCTCAGCATACCAGGCTGATTGAAAATCACTTCCAGCCAAAATTATTGTATGATTTTGTTGCTGCCAAGATTATTTGGGTGCTGGGAGAGGAAAAACAGTAGTAGGAGCAAAGGCTCTTCATGACAACATTTTCTCTTCTTCCTCTCATCCATCTGCATTAGCCCATGTGTGCATACCTCTGTCCAACCACAGATATTTTTGTTCCCCAACAGGAGGCCTGATCCTATTTGCCATTTTCAGCCTTGTCATGGATGTGTTCAAAATAGGATATTACTCGAGTTTCTACAGCTGCCTGTCTGCAATCAAAATCATCTACCCCATTGTGCAGGCAATATTTGTAGTTGTCCAGGTGAGATGGTTGTGCTCTGTCTTGGGGAGCGGTAGAGAGGCACAAGCACCAGTGGAAGGAGCTCTGATCTCTTGGATTTAGTTCAACTGCCCCCACAGCAAATGCAAGGGCTTAACTCAGCCCCCACCCAGCCCATGTCTTCTCCCTCCAACCACATCAACTTCCACCTACAGCAGCTCAGTTCAGTCTAAGGCAGTGATTTAAACTTGTTACCATGCCGTGACATTTTTGTCACAAACTCTGAGCAGCCCCCAGCCAGCCAGGCCTCCTTTCCCATGAAGAACAGAGGAGGAGGACAGTTGAGGCAGGTGCTATCTTGCAGTTTGAGGGCCCACACAGAGGACCCCCTGCTCTGGGACCATGCCAAGGAGAGAAGAGATCAGAGAAGGACAATTTAGACAGAACAAGGAGTGGTCATGGGCAGAGCAATGGCAGTGGGAGAAAAGAAAGAGCATCCAGCAGAGGGCCAGCATTATGAACTAGGCTGGATGGACCCAAGCAAAAGAGGCTCCAGCTTGCTCTCTGCTCTGTGGGGAGATCGCTCCTTCAGAGGGATGTGCTTTGCTTTCTTTTTTTGCTGGAAATAACAACTCCTTTTCTTTCCCCTGCAGACATATTTCCTGTGGGTCTCTGCCAAAGACTGCATCCACGTGCACCTGAATGTTACCAGGTGAGCACTGCTGCTCCTTGAATCCCACTGGTCCAGCAGACTTGGGCGCTCACAAGCACTCTGTACTCTCTCACACAGCTGAGATGTGACCATAATAATATGGTAATGGTATGGTAGGATAATCCCTTAATGCCATCCAAAACAAAATCTGCTCCATCTCCACCTAGACTTAGATTCCAGCTCAAGCAGCTGTGTGGTTAATGACCTGTGGGTCTGTCAGGGTTTGGATTCAATTCAAGAATACAAGCATTACTCAAAGCAGATAGTATTAAATAAATAATTATCATTAAATAATGATTCAGAGTTGACTTTTTCTTCCCTGGGGAAGAGAACTATGCAGTGGGCAAGCCTCAGGCTAAAATAAGATCTTGTCCACTTTTGCAAGACTGGATCTACTGAAGAAGAATTCAGATCTATTAATTTATTCACTACTGAGAAGCTCTTTCAAAAGCAACAATGGGAATCAAACCCTGCTAATTCTCATGAGCATGGGCAAAAAGTAGGAAGAGAGTGAGAGCAGCAAAGAAAGGATCAAGATTTCTAACCTGGGCCACCGGAGTCCTTGCACCACTTCAGGCAAATGCCACGGTCCCTCTGAGCACACCAAACCATGGATGGGAGAAACATGGCCTAGAGCTACTGCTTTAATGTCACAAACCTTCTCCTCCTCCTCCTCCTGCAGGTGTGGTTTGATGCTAACGCTGACTACAAACCTGGCAGTGTGGATGTCAGCAGTGACAGACGAATCTGTCCACAAGGCACATTCAAAGTTGAAGAAAAACATGACAGAGGAAATCTTCAGATGGCTCCTGAAAGGTAATCTGCCTCTTTGCAAAGCCATCTGGTCCAGGGAGAGATCCCATCAGGTAGAAATTGTTCCCCAGCAAGTCAGATTTTATCCTTTTTCAGAAGATCTGTTTAGAGCTGGTGGTACCTTTGTCAGAGCTGGTTTGTTAAAAGCAAAGTTTGGATGTTCATTTTCTAGCCTCTGTCAGAGAGGAGTCTGAGAGGTGGAAGACACTGTACAAATGAGATGGGATTGAATAAGGGAGGGAAAAAGAAAGATTTGACCTGACAGTTAACTTTTTAAGAAAGAACCTGGGCACGAGAAAGCTGAGGGTGAAGTATCCTTGTTTTCAAAGTGGTCACATATTCTTTTATTCTTTGTGTTGATTTTCACTGACCCCAAACGGCCAGTTCTTCAGGGAGAAGTGTTGGTTCCTTGTTTTGATACCATGGCATCTGTCTGGTTTTGTCTTGTTTCAGTGGGAATGAGAAGCAGCTCAGTTGAGGAATGCAATTGCAACAGCCAAATCTGCCAGATCTTCAAAAATGGCTACTTTTGGCTGTACCCCTTTAACATTGAGTACAGTCTGTTTGCCTCTGCTATGGTCTATGTCATGTGGAAGAACGTTGGACGCTTCATAGACCACCACTCCCACCACATTCAGCGCCTGAAGTTCAGGCTGTTCCGAAGGACCTTCTTTGTAGGCATCATGTTGGGCCTCATCATCCTCGTGAGTGGTTTGGGAGTCCTCATCCTGTACGAGGTGCAGGTAAATTCCAGCACTGAATCCAGCAAGAAGAGCCAAGCACTCACCATGTACTACATCTTCAACATTGTTTGTCTGAGCCTGATGTCTCTTGTCTGCATCGGTGGCTCTGTCATCTACCGGTTTGACAAGAGGGACATGGACCGGCACAAGAACCCCACCAGGACCCTGGACGTGGCCCTGCTGATGGGGGCAGCCTTGGGCCAATATGCCATTTCCTACTACTCCATTGTGGCCATCGTGGCCAGCACGCCAAGGGACACTATCAGCGCGCTCAACCTCACCTACGCCCTCCTAATGATCGCCCAGCACACCTTCCAGAACGTCTTCATCATCGAAGGCCTCCACCGGCAGCCCCCCAAGGAGGACTACAAGCATGAGTCTCACCAGAAGGACCTCTATGGGCTCACCTTTGTAAACATCAACGCAGTGTCCCTGCGGGTGCCTGACACTGGCAGCGCTTTGGCCACTGGCACGGCACCCGGCACGGAAGCCACGCACACTTCTGACCTTGTGAGGTCACTTACTGCCCCCAAGAAGATGAACTGGAGGAGGAAATTCTTGAGGGAGATCTCCATGTTCCTGCTGCTGAGCAATATCATAGTGAGTACATGCAGGGAGAAGAATTTGTGGGGGATGGAGAGGGCTACTAGCACAAGGGAGAAGGGTCTGTGAAGTGGGTGTGGCCCCATGGAAAAACAGTCCTTTCTGTGCCTCTGCTGTACAGAAAGTACATTAGTTACATTTATAAATGCAGAATTCTGATTCCCTTGTCCCCTAAAAAAGAAACAGCAACTGTCCTAAATTAAGACACCTTAGGCTACATCGACAGACCTGTCACTTATCACCAGAATATCAGACACAAGAGGTGGGTGCAAGAGAATAATCAGCTTCAGTATTTTTATTGTGTATTAGTAGATGTATGGGATATCTTATGAAAAGCAATAAATTACATTAAACTGTTCCCTTCACCTCCTAAAGAAAGGATGTAAAGTGCCAAATATCTGGCATGAAGTCTGGGTTTTATTGAGAAACAGCAGTACATCTCAAAACCCATGGCCTAGGAGGTTGCTCCTTTCCTGAGCAGCTGTGGCTGCAGGTCCCTGATGTACCACACACCTTTCTCACTGCAGTGCTGTTCTCCCATTTCCTCCCACAGCTCTGGATCATGCCAGCGTTCGGTGCCCGGCCCCAGTTTGACAATGACACAGAACTGAACTTCTATGGTGACTCCATGTGGCCGGCCATCGTGGACATTTGCCTGCCCTTTGGGATCTTCTACCGAATGCATGCTGTGGCCAGTTTGCTGGAGGTCTACATCATGTCCTAAAGAGCTCCCTTGCAAGGAAGATGAGATCCTCCTCAAGCAATCCATCCTCTACCTACCCCAGGGCTCCCCGGATGTCCCCAGGGGTCTCCAGCACTGCCTGAATCATGTCCCCTTGCAGTGCTGGGGCATTTATGAACTGTCAGTGAAGATCATCCAAACATAGTCCAGATTTTATTTTTGCTACTCATGTGTGGATGTGCCTGTGTGTGTCTGAAGTTCTTAAAGCTTAAAAGAGAACAGATAAGAAAAAGGAAGGTATCTAGGGTGGGATCATGGTAATTGCCCTTGGTTCATGCAGAGACTCACCTTCCCTGTAAAGCCTGTTCACTCCATGCCACTGATGGACTCTCCAGACTTTTCTCAGCACCCTTGGGCAGTCGGAGCCTCCCTGCACACAGAGAGCTGGAAACCTGGTGTGCCCCCTGGGAACAGACTGGGGGAGCTGGAGAGTGCAAGGGGCTGACACAGGCCTGGAAGGACAGAAAGGGAAACCACTTCACCTCCTGGTACGGCCAGTCAGAAATCACTCCCCTGCAGAGATGTGAAAAACAAACTGGTGACCACCAAAGGCTTTGGGAAATGTTTTAATCTTTCCTTTCTGTATTGCCCTTGTGTGTGGGCCCTGTCAACCCTTCCCTGTGCCAGCCCCTGCCTTCCTCTCCAGGGAAGCATCAATGCAGCCTCCTCTTCCCAAGGAGGGAGAGCTGTGCACGTGGTCCTGAGCTAGCCCTGATATGGGATTGCTCTAGCACACTTTCTTCTCAGATTTCCTGAATCAGGGCTCGAGAATCATAAAGATGATGTGGGCAATACAGTCTGGGGGATAATAAAGAGATTTTCCTTTTTTTTCTTTTTTTCTGTTTTTAAATACATAATGATTTTTTTTTAAATATATGAACATTTTTGTACGCAAAGTTATTTATTGATTTTCACTGTAACTGAACTCCTGAAGGGATCCTATGACACAGAAATCAATGTAATGTGGTGGCCAGTTTGATCTCCAGCACCTGAAGAGATGCTGGTGCTGCACCCTCAAGCCTGTGCATGCTTTGAGGCTTCGAGCACAGCTCTGAACCCAGATCCTGAGGCCCTGACTCAAATTTCTGGGTGCCTGCAGCTCTCCATGAACCACTGAATGACTGAGGGAGCTTTCAGAGCAGGAGTCCTGGGCTGCAGGAGGTAGAAATGGGCCCCTCTGCTGTACCCAGCACCCAAGCAGAGCCTCAGAAAGCCCTCCCTACCAGGACAGGAGGGTGCATATCAAACTGGCACAGCTGAGTTCTGTTTGCATCGTGAGAAATCAGGGTTTAACCATTCTAATAAAGGCTTTATTGTTCCATCAGGGTTTATTGTTGCAATAAAAAACACCGCAGAGGTGGCAGAAATCATCAAGCCTTTACCTATGGACGTGTACGCATCTGCCAAAGAAAAAACAATACATTTAAATCACGATACTTGAAATGGAGTGATGCAATTTTCCACCCCACAGCCCAGGTTGACGTGTTTCCAACCCCCTTCCCCTCCAAGCCCAGATCACCAAACCAGCAGGGACTAGTGTCTCTGGCTGCTCTAACACCAGTGTTCCTGCCTGCCAGCAGCCTTTCTCTGAACTGGGTAGAACATGGGGGAAACCCCAATTTCCCCTGCCCTCAGGCGGCCACACTGATCCAGCATCTCCACTTGGGTCAGTCCTTCCCTTCTCCAGCCTGGGAGTCTTTCCAAGCCTGACTGACCTGGCAAAGGCCTGGTTCTATTTTTACCATTAACCCGGTAAAGATAAAATCTTTCTCTAGAAAACTTACCTTTCCTAAAACAAAAGCCTCATTATTCTGTGGCTCCCGCAGTTGAAATTAAGTCAGAAAAGAGACGTAAACAGTGCAGACGTCAGTCCTACTTACAGCTCCACACATTGTTTGAGCCCAAGTTGCTGAGCACACACAGGGGCAGAAAACACTTTTAATCACGCAATCTGCTCCCAGGGGGCACACTCGGTTTCTTCCTATGTGCTCTTGCTGGTTCCTGCTCCCAGGTTCCCAGGAATGGGTGCACTGGATCAAGAAGGGCACACTTTGAACTGCTCTTTTCTTCTGGATAGCTATCGTAGGGGCACTTCTAGGGCCAAATAGATTCAGGATGGGTGTCAGTAGAACCCCCTAACAACTCAAGCAGCTCTGATACTGGCAATAACCTGAAATCAACCACTCCAGGGTTGTGGGTCAGCTGGAACCACAACATCCAACTGTAGTCCTGTTGGGATAAACCAAAATGCTCTGGGGATGGCAGAGGCTCCACAAGGATCCCTGGATAACTTTAGGTATCATCCCTCCTGCAAGCACAGGGATGACAGGGGCTTCCAACCAAGGGCTGCATTCTTCTGCTGCACTCCAGCCACAAACACGTATCTCGGGAGAAGCAGTAGATTGGAAAACAGCTAGTGAACCCCAGCTATATACCAAAAAAGGGGTATATAAATGTCCTGGTTTGGACGACAGGTGTCTGCTAGGAAGGGCAGGAGCCTGCCATGGAATGAAAAATGTAAACCCGCTCCTTCCCTATTCCTATAATTTTGAAATCAAGAGGCTCTCAGGCAGAGATCTGGGGATAGGAATAACAGTTCTTTACTAGTATGTGTAACAAGGCAAACAAACAGCAATAACTACAGCATTAGCAATAAAACAGAACCAGGGACGCCGTGACAGCTTTCTCGGCCGAGACGGGAAGGGATGGAGGAGAGGCTTTGTTTCACAAACCCCCTCGGGCAGGCAGTCCCGGTGCTCCTGCAGGGCTCTGAGGAACAGTCGGCTGGGACAGCAGGGATGAGCTGAGATCCTGGGCCGGTGGCTGAGGTGTATCAGCAGCTCCACGGTGGTGCCTGGCACTGCCACACGTCCTGGCAGGACAGGGGGTGCGAGGCCACCAGCGAAGAGGGGAGAAGGAGAAGAAGCAGCAGCTCCATCTGGGTGATGGTGAATTCCCTTCTCCCAACCACAACAGCTCTGAGAGCCTGTCCTGCTATGAAGCTGAAGAAAACCAGCCAGCTCTCAGCTGCCCCTGCCCTCCCTCTCTCTTGCCCCCCTTCCCCCCTGGGCCCAGCCAAACTCCCCGTGTTTCCTAAACACCCAATAATGCCAGCAATCAGCTTTCCCCACAACTAATGGGCAAAAACTCCAGAGGTGTGAAGGAACTAAAGGAAGGACACCCAACAATAAATATAGGGGGGTATATATATGTATATATATGTATATATATAGCCAGAGGGAAAGTGAGCATATATGCAAAAAAGAAGAAAAAAAAGAAGCCTAAAAATCCAAACCCTAAGAAAACTCCACTGTAAACTCTCTTGTGTGCTCAAGGATACTAGAAGGTGTCAGCTCATGGTCAGTTACTGTACAAAGGGATGTGCTCCAAGGCTGATGAAGAATCATCCAGATGTTCCTGGGCAACTCTCTGGCACATTCAGTCTCCCAGGCACACCCCTGGAGCAGGCACTGCCACATCCTAAGTGCACTAATCCATGCCTTTCCCTGAGTTTCCCCTCTGGCAGGTGATGCAGCTGACTGCTGCTGGCTGATCCATCACTGCCCCTTTCTCCTCAGAGCTGGGACTCAGCTCCTCACAGTCCAGTTAAAGAGCAGGACACATCTTCTTGGTGGAGGGTTTGGTGGAAGGGGAGAACATCACAAACACAAAGTACCCAAGTTACGGGAAGGGATCACACCTGGTCCTTTGTGAACACATCCCCATTTGTGTCAGATCCCTGCAGAAAAGCACTGCTGTTAGCTCCGTCTTCCACGCCTGGAAGGAGGGAAACTGAGGCATGAGAGCTGGGAGAGCAGAGAGCCTGTCAGAGCAAAGAACAAAGCTGGCCCCTAAGGCCACCAGCAGCATCTTGCTGACTGCCCCTGCCAGAGCATCCTTATGGAGCAGAGATTCCATTCCCATTAAGGGATGGGGAACCAGACAGAGATATGCCTCATGGTGACAGTTTAAATGGCAGTCACTGCAAATGAAGAGCTACAGGAAAGCAAAGGGCTGCCCTGGGCCACACCAGGTCCTGCCAGGGGCTTCCAGATTCACCCACTTTGGTATAAAATCCACCTTGGCCTCCCAGGCCGAGGTTTGGTGGAACTATGAATCCTACAAATAAAAATCACTCCCCAGGGGTTGGCAGGATTAAGAGCTCAGCACTGGTTGAGCTCAGGAGCTCCAGTCCCAGGACTTGAGACTGTGTGAATGTCAAAAAGATCTCAATTCAGAGCCCAGCCAGAGGGACATGGTGCCAGAGCCAGCAAGGGAGAGCAGCAAGAGAAGGAAGAGATGAAGAGCAGGAGATCAGGAATCATTGGCTCAGAAAAAAGCAGGGAAGGCCATCGCCAGGGTCAGGCCTGAGGCATCATCCCACCCCTACCTGGGTTTTGCATCCCCTCCTCTGCTTCTTAATCATCTGTTATTTGAAGGCGAGATTTGTTTTATTAGGGGAAAAAAAACAAAACAAAACACCATTTATCTGGGTGATTTGCTGAGGTGTGTCTGAGATGGGAGGAATCCAAGTTAATTATTATCTGTCAGTGCAGTAGATGGAAAGTGGATAGATTGAGAAGGTCACAAGGCTGGCTGTGAAGGATGGGATTGCAGCACAAGGTGCCTGTGAGCAGGATCGACTCCAGCTGAGAACCAGGTCAGGAGGTGGTGGCAGAGGAGGCATTTCCCAGTGGTCCTTAGCAGTGAGGAGGAGCTCAGTGCTGGCAGGAGGTCAGAAAGACCTGTACCACGAGCCAGCAGGGAAAATAGAGACACACTCACATGTGGAGCCAGGACATACCCCCAGAACCCATCTGAGGGGATGGAGGGACAGAGCTGGGCAGTACAGCACAGCTCACCCCCAACCATGCTGGATGAAGCTGCTCTTTGCAGTCACCCCAGAAGTCTCTGACTCCCAGCCTCAGGGAGACGTCGCCGCTGTGGTTATCAGTGCCAAAGGAAGGGCGTGGGCTGGCCAG